GCTTTTTAACAGTTTATTGTTTCTCTTTATGTCTTATTGTACTATGTCTTCAAAAGTTATTATTTTGTTTAATTCATCATTTAGTCTTTCTACTTAAGTCAAGAGAAGTTTATGCACTACAATTACAGCATTAATCTGTTCTTTTCTGTGTGCTTACTATACAATATTACCAGTGAGTTTTATACCTCCACATGATTTCTTCTACTCATTCACATATTTTTCTTTCAGATTGAAGAACTCCCTTTAGCATTTCTCAAAGGACAGGTCTGGTGTTGATGAAATCCTCAGCTTTTGTTTGTCTGGGAAGGTCTTTATTTCCCCTTTGTGTATAAAGGACATTTTCAGTGGATATACTGTTCTAGGGTACAAGTATTTTTCTGTCGGCAATTGAGATGTCATGGTACACTTTCCTAGCCTATAAGGTTTCCACTGAAAAGTCAGCTGCCAGACGTATTGGAGCTCTATATGGTATTTTTTTATTTTTCTTGCTGCTTTTAGGATCCTTTATCATTGACCTTTTGGAGTTTATTAAGTGCCATGAGGTAATCTTCTTTGGGTTAGATCTGCCTGGTGTTCTATAACCTTCTTGTACTTAAATATTAATATCTTTCTTTAGGTTTGGGAAGTTCTCTGTTATTGTCCCTTTGAATAAACTTTCTACATTTATCTCTTTCTCTATCTTCTCTTTAATGCCAAAAACTCTTAGATTTTCACTTTTGAAGCTATTTTCTAGATCTTATAGGCATGCTTCACTGTTTTGTATTTTCTTTTCATTTGTCTCCTCTGTGTATTTTCAAATGTCTTCAAGTTCAATAATTCTTTCTTCTGCTTAATCACTTCTGCCATTATCTCTCTGTGCTGATACACCTGGAGCTGGGGTGGGTGGGTGCAGTAATGCCCACCTGAGTTCCAGGTGGATTAGCACAGAGAGAGTGAGACCCTGTGTATTTGGGAGAAAGTAAGGGAAAAGAATAAGAGTCTTTGCTGTGTAATCCAAAGAATTCTTTTGGATCCTAGTCAAGACTAAGGCAATACCTCTGCAAGTCTGCAAAAAGCACAGCATTACTGGGCGTGGGGCACACGTCCCTTTGAATATCTGGAAAGCATTCCCAAGAAGGACAGACACAAACAAGTTTAGACTGTGAAGATTACAAGAGCCTAACTCTTCAATGCCCAGATACTGAAGAACATCTATAAGCACCAACACCGTCTACAAAAACATGACCTCACCAAAATGAACTAAATGAGGCACCAGGGACCTATCCTAGAGAAACCAATATATGACCTTTCAGACAAAGAATTCAAAAGAGCTGTTTTGAGGTAACTCAGATAAATTCAGGTAACTCAAATATAGGCAGTGGCCTCCCCCATATCCCAGGGCAGGTCCAGAAATGCTGTCCAAGAACCTAGGCCTGGAATTGGGCCTGCTGTTGCTATATCTCACTGTAGCCAAGCTGGTAGCTAGGGTGCGATAAAAAGTCTCTTTACTCTTCCCTCTGTTTATCTCAAATAGGAGACTTTCATTGTAGCCACCACAGCTGGGAAGGTGCTGAGTCTCTCCTAAAGCTAGCATGTCTCAAAGCCCAAGGCCCATGGCATACACCATGAATATCACTGCTGGTTATTCAAAGACCAAGGGCTCTTTAGTTAGCATGTGATAATCCTTCCAGGACTGGGTCTTTTCCTTCAAGGCAGTGGCTCCCTTTTGGCCCAGGGTGAGTATAGAAATGTCATCCAGGAACTAGGGCTAGGAATGGAGGTCTCACAACTCTGCCTGCTACCCTATCCTACTGTGGCTGATCTGATACCCAAAATCTGCTTCACTCTTCACTCTCCACTTCTTAAGCAGAAGGAAGGAATCACTTTCGTTGCTATAAGCTGTACCACCTGGGGATGGAGAAGAGATACTGCAAGTCCTCCCTTAGCCATGCCAGCCAGCTGGTGTCTTCCTAAGTCACATGCAACCCTAGTTCACTGACTCTAAGACCACGCTAGTCTAGGAGTTGCTTAGGAATTACAGTCCTTGTGTCCTACACTGCCTTTCAAGTTCACCTAAGACCACAGAGCACTTCAGCCTGCAGTGGTGAGGCTTGCCATGAAACTCATGTTCGACTGCTGGGATGGGTGATTCTTCTCTGGCTAGGGCTGGTCCAAATGCTCCCTTTGTGTGCAGGCACTGGCTGAGCCTAGCATGTCTTTATTCTCTGCTTTGACAGGGTAGCACTGAGTTCAATGCCAAGTCCCCCAGTGGCTGTACTCTCCCTCCCCAAAGTGTGCAGATTCTACATGCTTCACAGCTACTGTGAGGGAATGGAGGAAAGATGGCATTGGTGATTCAAGACTGTCTCTCCTGGCTTCCTCAATGCCTCTTTCCATGATATGAAGTTAAAACCAGGTACTGTGATTGCTCACCTGCTTTTTGGTTCCTGTGACAGTACTTTTCTGTGTGCAGATAGTTGTTAAACATTTGATGTGACAGCAGAGGGGGACAAAGAGTGTAGGCTTCTATTCCGCCCTCTTGTTTCACTTTCCACCTCCAAAATTTAAAATGGAATATATGCAAAGAGACCGTACAAAAAGCAAATACTCTTTAGCCCTAGCTAGGATGTTGTTCCTAAATCATTATGTAGTCTCCCAGCCTTGGGAAATGTACTAAAATATGAATTTGCTGCATATAAAATTAGTAAAAGCCCCAAGGAAATTAGATCTCTTTATATCTGTCATTACTAGTCAAATGACAGTGGTAGTCTTGAGCACTGAATTAAAAAAAAAAAAAAAAAAAAAAGAGGCCACATCTGAATTTTTTGGAGTACCATAATGCAGAAGTTATGTCTGCCATGGATATGGATAAAAGAGTAAATGCAGGAATCCCACCTATGTATCATCCCTCAATCAATCTATTTCTTACCCACTTTATCCTAATTTTCTTAACTGATCTTCTAAACAGGAGTGAGGAAAATCTTCTAAGTAGAAAAAGATCTCAGGTCCATGTTAACTACTAATCAGTAACATGAAAGGCATTCCATAATGGAGATACCACACACAAAAAAACTGAACACTTTATGTAAAAACACAACTTTTCTCCTTTCAAAAGCTCTATCTAGTAGTATCTTTCAGTAACTCCTATGTAAATTTCCATGTAAATTGTTTTTGTTTCTTTGGGGAAGAGAACATGAGTTAAAAGTGATTTTTACTTTATAAGAAAACTTTTCTTACTATGAATAATTGAAATGCTTGCTGTTTTATAATAAGCATTGTTTAATATACATTGAGAATTGTATAACTAACTACTATTATATGCATGTTCATTTTGGCTACTTGAAAACTCAGATAAAAGATCAAACATTGCAACTATTTCAGTTTTTATGGTCTATCTGTGTTTTCATTTTGACTGGTCTTGACTCTCTTTTATTGTTTATATTTTCCTTATTTCTAAATTTTTATTTTAACTTTATCAAAATGCATCATCCTCAAGCATCACACTTTCAATTCAACAGCAAATCTTATTTATTCACAGTCAGAAATGTGTCTTGAATCTATTATTTTTTTTCTACTGCTATTTCTAGAACTAAAATTACATTGTTTCTTGTCAAAATAAGTTTAACAGCCTCAGAAGTGTCCTGCCTGCTTCCACTCTGGCCAATAGCACTATCTTTCCCTATCCAACTGTCCCCACAAACATATACACACATATCCATCTATCTATTTTCTAAACAATAACCAGAAGATATTTTTCAAATGTAAAACAGATTACCTCACTCTGCTTTTGAAACATTCCAGCTGCTTCTCACTGTGCTTAGGATAGACTTGAAACTCCTTAAGTGATCTAGAATTTGCCTGCTTATCCAACCTCCTTTGATGGCTTTTTTCCCTCTTTTCTTGAATATGGCCAAGTTTGTTTCAGCCTTGGACTTTGTACTTGCTGCTGCCTTTCTGGTTTTTGCATAACTGTACCCTTTTCTTCATTTAGGTTTCATCTCAAATGTACTTTATTCAAAGAATTTTATTGAGAGTAGACTTTGACCCACTGAAAATTACGTAACTCATTTTTTCCAAAGGACTTATCTATGTGTATAATTATCATGTTTGTTCATTGAATTACTTCTGTATTATCTACCATCTTTTTCACCCCCAAGGTGAAAGGTAAAGAGATACCTTGTCTGTTATATTCACCATAATATTCCAGCACTCAGAACAGTGCCTGGCACATGGTATCATCCATGATAAGCATATGCTGAACAAATGAATTAACTAATACATCACATTCCCCATATAGTGCACAATCTTGGTTGACTGTATAAGAGTTCATTCTTAAAAATCATCAAGTTTTTCATTATGTTTATCTCAAAACATGCTATGTGGAGGAAATTAAAGACAACCAGTTACAGCTAACAAAGAAAATATCAATTCAAAAAAACAAATAGAAAGTTATAAAATACTGTACACATACTGGTCACTCAAAAAAAAAACCATGATATTTAGATAAGATTATAAACATCATCTGTTCATCTAGACATTGTAAGTCTTGTTCTTCAATCATCAGATGCCAAATACTGAGACCACATTAGCTTAGTCCTTTGTTGAATCTTCTTCATTGAATTACACTTTAAGATAATTTTGGCTTTTAATAAGCCCTTTACAAGAAACAATTAAGAAAAATTCTCCCACATTTATTAGAAAATTGTTGTAATAATTTCCATCAAATGGCTCAATTTTTTTTGAAATTAGGTGTGTTTTTCTTCTGATATGACCATGTAGTACACCATGATGATGATTTCCTTTTGGGCTTGATTTCAGAAAACTAACAATAAAAACTGTTGTTCAAACGGTATTAACTTTAAATTTAAAATATTTTTAACTTTTCACTTTCATATATGTTGTTTTACATTTTGTTAATGTAATAATCTGTGCATATATTTAGCAATCTAAATATATGTAATTTCATCTGATTTCAAATTACTTTTAAAGAGTCAAGGTATAAACATATACATATGATTATGAATACATAAATAGATATTAATAAAAAACATTTGTCATGGAGATAAAGATATTTTCCTTCTTAAAAGTTTCATCAGGGCATTTTTCACTTCCTTGTTCCTCAGACTATATATCAGGGGATTCAACATGGGAATCACAGTGGTATAAAATACTGAGGATACTTTCTCCTGGACAAGTGAACTGCTAGAAGCAGGTTTGAGATACATGGACATCAGAGACCCATAAAATATAAGAACAGCTGTCAGGTGGGAGCTACAGGTGCTAAAGACTTTGCACCTGCCCTTTTTAGAGTGGATGTGCAGGATGCTGGTGAGGATGAAAGCATATGAAATGATGATTGTTAGGCTTGTGGCCACCATGTTAAATCCACCAATGACAAAAATCAAAAGTTCATCAATATAAGGGCTGGAACAGGAGAGTTTAATAAGAGGGACAATGTCACAGAAATAATGTTTAATGATGTTTGATCCACAGAAAGACAACCTTAGTATACAACCTCCATGGATCATAGCATCGGTGAAACCTACTGAGAAGACAGCAGCCACCAGCAGAGAACAGACCCTAGGGGACATGATGACCTTGTAGAGCAGTGGGCTGCAGATGGCTACGTAGCGATCATAGGCCATGACTGCCAGCATGTAGCATTCAGAAATAACACAGACACAGAAAAAAAAACAGCTGAGTCATGCATCCAGGATAGGAGATGGATCTATCTCTGCATAAAAACCCTGATAGCATTTTAGGAATAATGACAGAAGAATAGCAGAAACTCTAAAAAAGACAAACTACTCAGGAAGTAGTACATGGGGGTATGAAGTCGAGGATTCAGCCTAATTACTGAGATCATGCCAAGGTTTCCCACCACAGTAACTGTATAAATTCCTAAGAAGAGGCAGAAAAGAGGCAGCTGAAGCTCTGGTTGTTCAGTTAATCCTGAAAGAAGAAACTCAGTCTCTGTGGAATGGTTTCTTATACCCATTCTTCTCTGAGAAATCTATGGAGATGAGAGAGAAAAAGTCAAATTAGATAGATAGAATCCCAGCTTGCCTCTAATTCCTTATAGCCCAGGTATTTCTATCTATGAAAACACTGACTTTGTGTTATGACAACCAAAAAGTGAACACTTAGATAAAATGGGGTCAGGAATCATAAACACTCTTTTCCATACCCTCCAGTGGAACAAATTCTCTTAACAAAGGACAGAACCTTTTACTCCAGAGTTAGAGACAAGACTAATGCTTAAAACCAGGGGATTTCTGTTGTGGGGAAATGCCAGCTGCTGGCACAATGGTAAAAGAATTTACCAAGACAGTTGTAGGTAAAGGAAGGCAGACTTATTAGAGAAAGTAGGAAAATACATTGCCGGGGAGACAACAGGCTAGTCAGCAGAAGCTGACTGTAGTGAAACCAAGGCTTGCTGGAGATTTTATAAGATGGTGTTTATGGCGTTTGTTGAAGAGGGCTTTGTGCAGTACTGATAACACCAGGGTTGCAGAGAGCTAACTTGCTGGTGTCTGGTGATAGTTGGGTACAGGAAGACTGTGAGTTATTTGTGCAGGAGGGCTGTGTGTCCTGGACCATGAAGAAAGACAGACTTGTAGCTCATCTGCTTTCTCTTTATGCTTTCCCCTGCTCGCATCAGCCTGACCCCCTTTCCCTAATAAGAACTCCACAGTTTCTTATGGCAAATTAGTTAAGTAGGTTCATAAACAAGAGGCTGGGGACTATGAGAATACCTCTGCTAGTGACACATTTGCCAAGGGCTGACTCTTCCTCCAGGATTTTCTATAGAGAAGGTATCTACTGTGAAGGTAAATTGTAATTTTCTCCATCAAGGTTTCCAAGAGTGTTCAGCAAAATAATAATTCTAGGGAGATGTTAAAAGGTGTTACAGTAAATAAGTATCCAAGGATCATATAATTTCAGACACGCTGAGTTACACAGTTAAACTGGTTTTGTAACTGGAGGATGTCTCAGTCCTGCTGGAGGATTATATAAATACATTTCTCAAACTTACTTAATGATAAGCAAGCTGCGCACTTCTTTTTAAAACATTTTATAGCATAAGCATGACTCAGAATGTATTTTCCAAAATATAGTTTTTCTAAATATAGTTTTCTAAAACTATATTTTTGTGTGTTTGTTCTATTTTTAATCTAATCATGAATTAATTTCCAGTTGGGAAGTTTATTCTTACACTTCAGTAAAAAGCTGGATGATGGTTGAATGGCAGACTTCCCAAAACTGTTTCTACCTTCTGGATCTCTGACCACCCTGTGGGCTCAGCCTACGTCTCCTGCCAAGGCCATGGAGTCTAATATAGGCACGCTAGTGCTGCCACTACTGGCAATGCAAACAACGCAAATGTTTGTGTTGCCACTTGGAAGCTCCCAAATAGCACACATCTTAGAATCATCTATTCTGGGGTCAATCATGGCCTTATCTCTGAAAAAGCTGACCCTTTATTTAGTGTTGGGCTACTCACAGAGCCCTCTCCAGACATTCACATTGGCCCCAAGATGACACAGAATCTGGTTCAAATGCCTAGGGTTGCGTTTTCTCATTCTGTCCAGCTACCTGGTTATTCAAGAAGCTATTCATGTCTTCTTGTTTCCAGTATATTATGGATGCCCATGGCCTCTTCCCTATACTTCTGCGACTCCGTGGCCTCAAATATGCAGAAGCTCTAGAACCCGTGGAGACAACCAGGAATTGATTTTAGAACACATTTTAATATCCTTATATTGTGAACATCAAAACTCTGAAGCTCACCTTTTTCCCCCCTGAAGACTATAGCTAAGTAGCTCTTCTTTCTCCAAACCTCATCACTTCAGGAGTAGCGATGGATTGATTACACCCTCTTCTTTAAGTGTCTGAACAACAACAGCTAACAAGAAGCTATGACTTTTATTCTCAGTTCCGGTATTGTGTGTCAAGAAATATAAAGACCAGTAGTCCCAAGGATTTCTTGTCTCCTGAGGTACAGCAGCCTATGTATTTCTAAGAACTATCCCTGAGCTGGCCTATCATTTTGGGAATCTAACATGGATTAATCACACTAATACCTCTTGCCATTCAGTTGGGGAAGATACATGATCTAACACATGGCTTGCATTTTAAAATGTTGAACAAACGAGGCATCATAGACAGTGCTTGGTATAATAAGCGGTAGATAGACTATGAGGTCAGAGATAGAACAAATCACTACAATCTACAGCAATAAGCACAGTCTTCATGGAAAGATTGTAAAATATGCCTTCAAAGGTGGTGAGGATCCATTTAAGCTGAGAGGATATGCAAGCATATTTAAGATGTAGATAAAGGCATAAGCAAAGGAACTGAGAAGTAGAAACATAAGGAATATGTGAAGAACATTGGGAATGGCTGAAGTGTTTCTTGGATGAAAGAGGGGTTCAGTGTTTCTCATTTCTGGTAATGATGGAAGCAGAGTCAGAAGAATGACTGAGTCCAACCCTCCAGTTCCTACTAATGGCTTTCCAGGACATCTGGAAGAATGTGCCTGGTGATCCTTGGGTGAGCGATTTGTAGCTCTATTAAAATAACACATGCACTTAAACCCACCAAATTTTCAGAGGCAAGTAGCTGTATTCAGGTCTGGCTTTGTGGAAAACTATGATACCACTTCAGATTATCTCATAATCAACAGTGTCTACTATGTCAAAGCCACTACATTTCTGGAGATGAAGCCAGGATAAATAAAACATGGTCCTTACCTTATTCATATTGGTTGTGTATTAAAATGTGTTTTAATGTCAATTTATTTTCTTGGGAAAAGCGCCCTTGGTACCATTCATAATCCCTTAACTATTCTCCCAGTGTACTGACCTCTGCTTTAACATTGCTCCACCATACATGTATTTGTGCCTATCTTCCCTGCTCTTTGGGAATTGTCCCCCTTGTTGAGACAAGGGACAATTTCTCATACATTAAGGCCTATCATGATGACCAGCTTACAGTAGAATTTATTTTTTTCAGCATCATCCTCATTCCTATTGAGCATCTATTCAATCAAAAGGCTTTGTTCTCTCCTGTCTAGAAGATCATGATCTGAAAAGCTGATTAAAATAGGCTAACTTACAGGAGCAGATTTTCACTGACTATATAAATAACAAAATGGGATCAATTTTTAACCAGGGGAAATCAGTCATGAATGAGAAAGCAATGGTATTAGAAGAACAGATACTTAACATACAATATTCTTGCTTATTCTTAAAATCAAATAGTATAGATAATCATTAATTCTACTTATACTTGTCCTAGAAAGCTTGTTACATAGAGGTCTACTAGAGTTAAATACTTAAAACACAAAACTTCAGCTATAGTCAATGTACCCATTACTAGCCTGTGAATTATACATATTCTGAATAATGTTTAGTGAACTAAATTCCTGTTATGATCATATGTGTGTGAGAGAGTGTGTGTGTATTAATTACTTCCTCACCATTGCAAATACTTTATTTTGAAACTAAAAAAATTAAATTAGTGATTTGCTACACAAATATCACACAGAGCACATCTGATTGCAAAAAATTTTTTTAAAAAAGCAAATGAAGAAATATAATCCTAAGGCAAAGAGAAATGTTCAGATTATCTGTTAGTCTTCTTTGTTAATGTGGGTAAGCTGAAGTTAGCTATAGCAATCTCTTTATAGCTATGTCAGAAATTCCTTCAAATGTGTAGAGGAAGGTTTTTGGTCAGAAATGAGGAAGGTATAAAGTCAGGTGGGCTAGTATAAAGCCGGGGATCTAAAGAGGTTGCTTTGTTGTTCCTGTTGTTCTTGTTGCTATCTGGGTTTTCGTTTATTTTTAGTTTTTAGCCCTTTAGCTAGGGCCTTCTGAGGTGCTCAGTAGAGGTGTTTAGGTTTGGGAAGAACCACAGGACCACTGGCCTCCTCCTACCACTCTCACTGTCACCATGGTAAAGTCCTGGAAAACAGCCTCCTGCCCAATGGGAAGAAATTCTGCTCCACCCTACCCAGCAGTGCGCATCCGCCTCCACCAGGCAGCCTTGGCCTTTGCTGCTGCCCCTCCAGGCACTGCTGCCTTAGTCTTAATGGAGCCAAGAGTAGGTGGAGCAAAGACACCTTGCTTATATTTGGTCTTCTGTACATTGCTACAGGTTTTATCCAAGAAATGCTAATGGTGCAGCAATATTTTCCAGAGCTGTATACTAAAATTAACCTCCTGTTTCTACTTCGCTCAAATAACATGAAAATTCAAAGAAAGTCTAGTCAGATCTCAGTGAAAGCCTCCATACCGTTCTCACCTCCTAAGGGTGAACGTGGCTTCTTTTACTAGGTCAGACTCAGCAAATGAAGTTCTTGCTTTCTCTCCTTTTGAATTCTTCAAGAAATCTTGGTTTTGATGAAAACTGAATCTTCAAGATGGCCTTCACTATATTACCTGACGTGTCAAGATATGTCTGATCTGCCTACCTGTCTTCAGACCCACTTATGCAAACACACACACACACACGAAAACACAGAGGGGAAGAAATGGCAAAATAAACTGGTATTTGTTGAGTACTGATCCAGGCATTTTGTAAACATGATCCCATTTAGTGGCAGTAACCACTCAATGAGGTAAACATTTAGCTCTATGTTATAGGTGAGACTACCAGAGCCCAGAGTGACCATTATATTTGTTCAAGGCTGCACAGCTAATAAATGGCAGACCCAAGAAGCAAATATAGGGAGTCCGTCACACAAGGGTGCATGCCTTGCTGCCCCAGGAGAAAAGCAAACAGGAAGTTGGACACTCATATTTGGAGATGGATAAAGATGAGTTTTATTGTCCTTCTAGGTGACTTTGCACACATTATGAAATTTGAAAAGCAAACACAGATTTGGGGCAAAAGCTCCATCCAATAACAAAGCTAATACACCTTGCTAGGAAAATATCTGCTAATCTTTCTGTCATTCATGTCTCCAAAATATAATGCACAAAACTCAAAAGTGTGCACACATAAA